CGAATTCAATATCTATCACAGAGTTCTTACATGGACGCCTTTATCATCTGGCATCTGTCAACATCGGAACGTTAATCAATGCAGGTGCGAGCCTATGGTTTGTGACGAGGTAACATTACTCCCCTATTTTACCAATAATACAATATTTAATATGTGCATTTATTTATTCATATATTTCAGATTTTCCCGTTATGTGGAGACAACCAAAAGGCAATGTTGTCATGGTAACTGGAGCATGTGGCTGTTTGGGGCACACGTGATAAATTTATTGATGACTCGGTGCGAACATATCAAAGAGATCATCTCGGTTGACCTGTTGCCATTTCACTGGGTGAAAGGTTTGGAGCCACCAGCCAATCCTGAGAGTTCGATTAGACTGCGACACATCATCTGTGATCTCAGGAAATATAGTGATGTCAATAAAGCCTGTCAGAAAAATATTGATGTTGTTATACATACGGCCGGTTTTATAGACGTGGGAACTGGCCAGGATTGGAATCAATTGGTTGATGTTAACGTAAAAGCAGTTGACAATGTGATAAGAGCTTGCATTGCAAACAACATCCCCTATTTAGTACATACCAGCTCACAGGATGTGGCAGCCGGCATGGATCCATTGCACAATATTGGGGATGATTCTGTCAGTATTCCCACAAAGTTCTTTTACAAATACGCAGAAACCAAGTTTGAGGGCGAACAATTGGTAATTCACGCAAATAACTCATTACTACTAAACGAGAAGCGGTTACTGACAGTAGCGTTGCGACCATGTTCAATCTACGGAGAAGGGGACAACAATATAGTCACACCCGCATTGCGTGTCGCATATAAAATGGGAGGTGTACTGGTTCGATTTGGTGATCAAAAAGTCGTATTCCAGTACGCGTATGCCGGAAACATAGCGTGGGCACACATATTAGCAATGCAACACCTACAGCACAGCGACACTTTGGAACAAAACAAAGGTACAAAGACCGTAGAGTCGCAACCAATTGCTGGAAAATGTTTTTTCATTATGGATGAAACACCAGCACGGAATCTGTTTGATAATATCAAACCTTACGTTGAAGATCGCGGAATTCGAATATCTGACGTGGTTGTGCCCTTTTGGATCATGTATTGCGTTGCTTTGTTTTTGGAGTTCATAACTTTTATATTGAAGCCATTCACATCTCTGAATTACCCCCTCACGCGGCAAGTGTTGTACAGTATGTATGTTCATCACAATTTCAATTATAATGGTGCTCGAAAACATTTGAAATATAAACCCATATTTACACCTGAAGAAGCCATGCAACGTAGTCTGGTGTATTATCGTTCAATTGAAATAAACCCACATGTGACATAATTTAGATAACCCGATTTCAAACGAGGTATCACCGTTATTCGGTGTAGTCAAACCTGCGTAAATTATATTGACCACTCAAGGGACATTAAAATGGTCTTCAGAGACAGATATGTCTTTGTATGGACGTTGGATAATTAGTCCCCGTTCGAACATAGTCAGGAAAAGATGACTTATAATTCTATCACTATAATTCTATCTGGATCTCGTGCATAGACATATGTCCTTGATATGTCCTTTTACTACACAGACAGGATTGAAAATGGCCATTTTGTTATAACAAAAACAAAGTCCATACTATTTCTGGCATTTCTTGACTGATTCCACTCAACACACACACACACAAAAACCGCACAAATGCAACAAGCAAGAACTGTAACCACGGCAACTTTGATTGGCACATTAAAATTGTTTATTGCTTTCTCCTGCAAGTGCATGAAATTGTTTGCTTTCGTAACAAATTCTTTTCCTTGGGGTATCTGATGTACAACTCATCAGATGTTACTTTGAAAATAAGTGGCATTTGCAATGACTTGTTGTTTTATGATGGACCATTTCATACAGTTGACATAGTATTTGTTGCGAAAATATAAAATTAGTACTGTAGCAACAAAACACTTTTTTTACAGTTTTCACTCGTTATTTTCAGCAACATACGTAGCTTAGGTTTTGAGGTTTTTCGTTTTGCTGTAGTTCATTTTCATTGCCATTAGCAGAGTTATTTTTGTTTTTCAAATAACATTTTCCAGATAAAAAATAATAATATTCTCTGTAAATTAATAATTATCTGCTCGTAAAAAATGTTCTATGCTAGAAGAATAAAGATGAGAACGGATAATCGTACGAATAATCAGTGTGTTCACAATATTGCGTTATTATATACTGACCACAACTTTACTACTGACTTGTATACCACTATGAAAATGATAAAAGATTCAGCATACTTACTTGTATTCATACTTATCCTACAACGATCGATAAATTCTTGGGCATGGCTCGACTTAGACCTCGTATTTGTTATAAACTTTGCCATAAAATCACCGCATTGCCGGTGTACTACGGGAAGACGGAGTCAAAGCTCCCAAAGGGA